CTCTACTGAGGCAGGTACCGGTACTTATACCGGTAGGCCATGGTCTGGCCTCAATGCTGCGAGGCCAGGCCAGACCCTGGACCATCCAGATGGACAGTTCAGCCTCAATCGCGGGCGGCAGCTTTAAGAGCGCCGCCAGGCCCAAACAAAAGTGTCGTTTGGGCCTACCCGCTGGGCTTAGTTCAAAAATCAGGCCTTTAGGGCCTGTAGTCCAAAGGTCGGGCCTTTAGGCCCTGGTGTGTTCCTCCGGCCCTAAGTCGGGTCCGGTAGGACCCGTGTGAATCGAAGATGTAACAGTAGGGATCCCGTGCAGGAGAGAGATGCTTGCGAGGCACTGTAGTGAAAAACGAAAAACAGAATCGTGCCAATGCACTCTCCGTGCCTTGATAAGTGCTTGAAACATCAGTCAAAGTCGCCCGATATAGAGGATGTCGAAGGAAGTCAGAATATAGCTTGAGAAAGGGTTTGCAGGCTTCGTATTTCGCAGACGTCTGTGCTCTTTTCGGCCGGCTATGGCGGAGAACGCAGAGAACAGCGGACAGTGGTGAGTCATGGAAACGCCGACTGTCTTCGTCCTAGAATGTGTGAGGTCATATATCAAGAAGGTACACGGACAACCGATAGATCTCCTCCCACGAGCAGCCCGAGGTCGAGGATGGAAGAACGTGGACCACCAAGAAGCAGAAGAACAGCGGTCACGGAGAAGAAGACAGTGGATAACGTAACTGTGATGGCAAGTTCCCAGCGCGAGCACGTGAACTGGTTTGTTCCCTCGTGCACATAAAAGGGTACCAGCGCCTTTCACATATATAGCGCTGCCTCGGGCAGCAGAGGCATGAATCCGAATTCCGAAGACCATGTCGGCGACTGAAGACCAACTGGTCAAGGACCCCTAAGGCTAGGAAGTGAAAGTGTTGTATGCATGTGTAGTTGTGCACTGAAGTACTGAAGTGGACCGCAGCGGGACCGAGACCTGCTGTAAAACTTATTTGTGCTGCAGTGATAAGAGTCTATCACTCACTCTGCTGATCTCAGGCATGAGGTGTCGGTCGACAGGATTCAAAACGGAGGTCGGCAACATTTATAAGAGGGTCAAACCCATAACCGCAGGCAGTGACTTTTATAGTGCCACATTGAACTATTGGATCGGGAACCAATGGTACGTTCACTACGGGTAAGATTTGTGGGTGCGAAGCAAATGGGCACTGCTCTTTGCCTTCTTGAGGGACCTCTTGTCCCTGCTTTTGTATGCCAAAAACAGGGACACGTCGTCCGTGAGTCTTAACCCGACAACGAGCTTTCTGTCAGACCCCAGCGAGCCCAAAAAACGCCACTACGAGTATGCACACAATGCATGCGAGTGGCTCGCTCATACTGTTACCCATTGACACTCCAATCCTCTGCTTCAACAACACCCCTGACGCAATTGTTACTGAATGCTCCAGATCAAAATTCACGAACCTCCGAAAATCCTCCAAACTCACGGATGACCACTTCCCCTCTGCACTGCTCCTTTCCCCCTCGGGTTCACTCTCACCACCCTTCTTCCTTCCCGCCAACATGTCTCAATCAACCATTTGATCGCCTCTACTGTCTCTCCACGTGGTAGCCGACAGAACATATCCTTGACATCGTACGATGCCGAAAGGATACGGGCATACTTGCAACCGCACGAGCCGCAGATTCGTGCGGAGTTCTGTGTGGAGTTCCGTGCGGGGGTTGCCTGTGTGGAATCGTGCAGGTTTTTTATTTTTATTCTGAGTGGGGATCCGGGCCGCCCGGGTGACCGGAGGGGCCCGGGGGAGGTCCCTGGCGGCCTGGCCGGACGGGGCACCCGGTTGGGGGCCGGGGTCGGTGTGTGTTGTCGTACGTGTGTGTGTGTGTGTGTGTGTGTGTGTGTGTGTGTGTGTGTGTGTGTGTGTGTGTGTGTGTGTGTGTGTGTGTGTGTGTGTTTTAGATTTTCCC